ACGGAGCCATTTAGCCGGACAGCACGCAGGCAACTGTTAACGGGGATCCATTCTAATAGTGCCTGTTCTGCCCTCGTACTAAGTGCTATGCCTACTCCCGCAAGTCCACGAGAACTAGTCATGGGGTCGCTAGATATACGGAGGTTGTATTTCGTTGGCTGTCCATTTTGGCGAGGTGCGGTCAACTGAATGACCACACTGGGATCCTGTATGCGTGTTTTGGAAACACAGCATACATCAAAGGTACGAGATTTTAGGATCTTAGCCAAGGAGGCCTGTCGACCGATCTGACTTAGGGTACGTACGTTGAAGGCTCCAATGTGTAGTTTGGAGCGAGGTTTTAGTATATCTGGGACTGTTTCGCGCACTAGAATCGTCGACCATGGTGACACTTGAGGAGGAAACCGAAAGAGGAAGCTTAGTGTTGAAAGTCGAGGTAGAAGGAATAGTAGGAAGTGAAGGAGATTGATTTTTAATACAGTGGTCTTGAGTGCTGTTAGAGGTATGAGGGTAAGTATCACTTCCCGGTTGCCCACACCGTGGAAGGGTTCTTCCAGAGGTACCTGAAAAGGAAATTGGGTTAGAAGTGGTCTTAATGACCTGAGAGCGTGACCGCAGTGCCCAAGGGACAACTGCTTGAGGTCGGTCACACACGACCTCCTTGTGGGTAGTTTTCGTGTTAGCTCTGTACTTTTTGGGACCTTACCGCCGGAGACGGATATCCGTGGGATAAGGCGAGGTGTGCATTTTTAGGGTCGACCTTTTCTAACCCCACCCTCCTTGTGGGAAGGCAGCATTGTTGTTATGCTGGTTGTCTGAAGGAAACACCTTACTGCTGTCACACCTCTACAGTCAGCAGTACGACTTTGCCTTCGGACCTTGGGTTTGCTGCTTTTAGTCTCACCGCTCTTCAACCGACCTGCCTGGCATGGTAGGACATTGAGAAACGATTGTCCCAGCCAGTATAGCTCGATTGAATCATCACGATAGGCAAGCCCGACCACCACGTCAAGGTAGCAGCAACGGTCGGGACTGGCAAAGAAGGGCCGAATTCCTATGATTGAAGAACCAACACCAAAAATCAGAATCTTCAATACGAACGTCGAAATGTATCTACTGTACGGAGCTGAAACATGGAGGAATACTACAGCCATCATAGAAAAGGTATAAGTATTTATAAATAATTATCTACGCAAGATACTCAATGTCCGTTGGTCGGATACCACCAGCAACAGCCTACTGTGGGAGAGACCAAATCAGCTTTCAGATGGAGGTGAATAGTACATTGCGAAAGTCAACATAGTGCATCACGAGGCCAGTCCTAACTTGAAATCTTCAAAGCAAAAAAAGAGTAAGACCAAGGAACACGTTGCGTCGGGAATCGGAGGCAGACACTAAAGGAGCGAATAACACTTAGAAACGACTGGAAAAGAGAGTAAAGGACAAGGTTGGTCGGATAATCGTGATCGGTAGTCTATGCTCTTCCACGAGAGGTAACAAATGTAAGTAAATAAGTAAGTAAGTAAGAGGTAGTAACAGTATCAATGATAATAGAAAAGACTAGGCATCGAAGCTACGATTACAAAATAAAGAATGGAACTTTTCTAAAATATACATTCGTAAACATATTTGTTTTAATGCTTTTTTTACACTAGAGTTAAATTATGTGTTTACCTAATAGCTATGGTAGATTTTTTGGATCAGGCGTTCACCATATATTTTTTTAAATAACTGACAAATACATTTACTATAGTGAATGTCGTATGGATTAAGCACTATTTGGCACCAATATATTAGAGTTATGTGGTATTTAATGTTATTTTTGTAACATTTTTGCAATTCTGTAACTCTGATTGACCTCTGTTTACTTTTACCAGTCGTTATTTATTTTGTAATCACTATAAGACTTTATAATTTTTATTTGATATTATAACATTCCTGTATTTGATTGAATACGTTTACTGTCAGGCATAATAATCATAGAGTAAAGAAGCTATTAGGGTAGGTTGAAACAAATTTTATTGTGTTAATGCATCAAATTATCTGCTTATATAGTAAGATATTTATGTTTTATATACCAAACAGTTTTGCTTTTAGTCTGATGAGCTTTACTAATTTTATCAACTAAAATACTGACCCGTCAAATGAAGTAATCCAAAACATTGTAAATTGGTGCAAATAAATAAATACATGACAATAGCTATCTTAACGCATCAATCAGGCTTCTCTATCTTGATTACTTGTTTTAGCAAATGTTCATTGGTGAAGTTTTTCTTCAGAATCCTTTCATGTTAAATACTTCAATTGACAAGCTTGATAAACAAAAGCAGATAATCTCAAATCCAAAGGCGGGTGTCCTAACTCTACCACAGTGATTATAAGTTTAAAGTGTTTCCCATAAAACGTGCTGATGATGTCGTCCAGAAGGTCGATGAAAGCTGCACGACCAAACCCACGTCAAAAAAAACGTAAGCATCTCCAAAGATTCTCTACCCCTCCATCAGTCATTAAGTTGCAACGTAGAATCTTTTACTTAGGTACATCGGTTCAAGTTACCATACCTTATTAGCACAAAGAGATGAAATTGTCAGGATAAATCCCAGAGTAGTAGAGGTAGTAACATTATAAGTGATAATAGAAAAGATTAGGCATCAAAGCTACGATTAAAAAATAATAAATTAGTGAAATAAAAAAATTATGAGGAATTCAGAAGCCTAGAATTTGGAGAAAAACAGCTAAAAGGTGTGCCTACGCCATGTCACTCAGTCTCTAACCACTTGTTCAGATAATCACGCACACACCAACCAGGTATTCTAATTCTATTAATATGGCTCAGTCCGATTGTTAATGACTCCGTGGACTGATGTCATATTTTGGTTTGGTCGCCCCTAGCTCCCAGCCTGTTCCTACACTACACAACATCGCCAACCGAGGCAGGCGGTGGTTGGGCATACATGACACATGTATAAACCACCTCAGTTGATGAGAGTTAATACCCCACCAATCAATGTACCGTCCTTACCTATTACCCTACTCCTAACCCAAGTATTGCTTACTCCGTGGTTCCAAAATACACAGGCAATGCTTCAAAGTTACCTATCATCGAAAAATAGCAACCTACGAACATCCTCTATTCTTAATCGCCATTTTCCACATCCATAAAATAGAATGAAGCAAACTGTTGCATAGTAAACTCGTCCTTTGGTTGGCAGACGCATATTTTGCCTGCACCAGAAGTGACGCGAGTTGGCAAAAGACAGTCGAGCTCTCTGAATCTGTGCTAAGATTTCATCTGCCAACAGACTATCAGGACTGATAAAACTCCCAAGATAATTAGAACGGTTGATATATTCAACTACTTCACTTCCTACTGTAAATTCAGGCGCTAATGCACGTCAATCCTGAAGCAACATTTCGCATTCGGAGGGAGAGAATTGTATCACAAGGATGCTTGTATCGATGCTTAAGGCGTTCGGAAGACTCTGCATTTTGTCAGTGTTTTCACCAGACAGAATATCATCTGCATATCCCAAGTCAACAGGCGGATCTTGTTGTAGATCAGCCACTGAAAGGCAGATGAGGAAAGTGTAATCTATGGAAGCATATCTATAACAAAGTTCATTTTCAGTAAATTTCACTGATTAGTCAAGGTGTAATGTGCAGAGTGAATCCTAATATTTAAACAGGATTTAATATCAATCTTTACGTATAGTCATTTAATTTTAAAAATTTGTTTACATTTATTATTTGTTTCAGTTACGTCAAATTATATAACGAAGAAATATGTCTATATACTATCATGAGTATGATCTATGTTTAAACAAGAAACCCCTACCAAATAGACTGCGTTCTATAGCTAATATGCTGACGGATCTGTTATAATGTTCCATTTTTCAACAGGTCACTTTCAAATAATAGCTTTTTTGTGACGCCATTTAGTTATTCTACATATTTACATGCCAACTATTTGTTTTTCATCTCGAATGATGTTCTACTCACTAAGTTTCTAGCAGCCGGTTAATAAAACTAGCCATCTTAAAAAATATATTTTGTTGATGGATCGATCTGCACGTATTCTCTTCTACTTTTATTATTACAAACCATGCATTTGCGTTCACCAGGTTTAGTGTAGCTGACTATTTTTTTTCAATGATTCAGGTGAATCCATCTGGAGAATTTCATTAGGAACAAGTATAAGTTTTGTATAAATTCTATTTACTACGTGATTTGCGAACCTAGTAGGTGTACATTGTGTGTGCGAATCTAGGTTGGTGAATGAAGCTAGTATTAGATCTCGATACATTTCTGAAATCATTATTATTTGAAATTTTCTATAAAAAAACATAACCTCTCAAGCACCCGTGGAAAAGGTTATTAGAAATGTCATTAATCGTCAACGTCCACACTATATTTCATCAGATTAAAATCGTTATAGGCTTATTGCTAAACTAGGATTTAGTTTTTTCGTTAGAACTTATAAGTTTATCTTATGGTTTAAATTTATGCTCATAAAATTGTAATTTGACAACTTATTTCTGTTCAATATTCATATTACTAAAATATCACGTGGACACTCTAGTCTTGTCAACAGTTTTATGAACTGTCTAATTTTGTTCATATTAGTTAAATAAATTTGCAAGTGCAACACTTATAGAATGACTGTTTCACTTGCAAATTAATTAGTCAATATTAATTTCTAATGCTATCATTACCACATTGCAAAATAAAATGAAGTTTGGTTAATCATTATTTGTTTCCCGTTTTTCCTGTAAGTTTTCCAATAGTTAACGAGTATTCAAGCAGTATCAAATTCGTTCGTTTACTTCCCAAAAGTATATTTTTTAAAACTAGTATTTTGGCCGTATTTTTTACTGGAAAAATGACTTTAAAACCGTTTGTTACTCATGATATTTATGATGTAATTAAAACACCCGTAAGTTTCGTATTACTTGTTAAATAGTTCTGTTTATTAATTTTCCTATTGATATTTCCTCTACTAGGTATTCTTCTGGGTGTGTAACAACGAAGATGATATGCGAAAAGCTTTTGAACTTGGAGCTTCAGGCGTAATGACGGACTATCCCAGAAAACTAACTGGATTTCTGAAGAAGCATCCTGAGTATCCGAGAGTTTTTTAATTCATTTCATGTGCTCGCTTTAATAAAACATTGGACTTCACTTCTGTTTATATTCTATATCTTCTGACTTTTTGAATTAAATTAAAATCGTGTTTATTTTGTAAATGACGTTGACTCTATATAAACATTAGTCATTTTCGCTATTTTACGATCGGGACACTGTTCACCTCATAAATAATAATTACGAGCTCACAGGCCTAGAAATACTTTTTCGTGTTGTCATGGAACAAACTATAACTCTTGTTGTTATAACTCAGTGTTATTAAGGTCAGCAACTCTTTGAAATTCTCGATGTAAATTTTGCAAGTAGGAACTTAGAATTCAGGTTTATTATTTGCTAGTTAATTTAGACAATAGGTTACAAATGGCCTACAGTGTTACTCAGTCTTAAGAGGCTAATGGATCTTTATCCAAGTCGCCTTACATCACGGACTACTCATTGTTGATTTACTCCCCAACTAGAATAAACAAGACTATTAACCAACTGTTAATATTAGGAACTGTTGATATACTTCGTTTCAAAAATTTCCTGGGGTTCACTGTGGATTGGTTTCGACATTACTTTGGTGGTCTGTACATGACTGCATTTCTGAGTAAATGCACCATCTTAAGGGTTGGTGTAAAAGTTACTATGGGTCACTATGGGTTTACCATTGTTTTGGTTGAGCCCTTGATGTATGATATATATGGTAGGTAAATATTTTGTCACTCCACCTGAGGCTATAATATCTTTAGGTGGTCAAGTGGATCTCACTTGTACGCAGGCAGTTTTCTGCGCTTCTACTTTATTGTATGTGACTTATATGCGTATTCACACATGTGACCCAGAACTGTAATCAATCACAGCAGGTCAGGTATTCTTCAGCTTAATGCCCGTGTGGCCGGTCTCCTGATTGAAGTTCTGACTGTATTGTTTTCACAAAAAACTGAATAGTTCCATTATGGAAAACGTTATAAAACATTCAGAATACCCTCCTGAGAATGTAAATAATGATTTAATGGTGGCTCGACGACACAACTTGCTCTTTAGGGTGACCCGAGGTAGCTTAACTTATTAAATGAGTATTCAGGATTCTTATAGCTGTTCACTCTTGTCACTTGTATACATTATGAAAGACAAGAAATTTTTATTATTCGTTTGCTTGTGAGCTTTACTAAAAGTTTGCTCTGCGAGTCTGAAAAACCATCCTTGATCGCACCACAGGTTATTTTTTCGTCTTAGCAAGTTTTACCGTCGTTGTTACAGTACAGTCTGGTCAAAGGTACACTTATTGATCGAGGATTAGTATTTTATACTCAAAGTTAAATACACACACTACAAAACTAACAGAAAATCAAAAAGCCATATCGTGTACTGGGTATGGACATGATAAGATAAATCCTAAGCATTGAACTTTTTGGTTTCTGAAAAATAGGTGAACAGAAACAAAGTTTTGGCGAGGGTCACGGGGGGAATTTCAAAACTATGGAAAAAATAATTCACGCAAGATGCATAGGCTATATGTCAGCGTAGTCAGGATCCCGCTTTTATCAATGTTGTGGTTTCTCCGCATTTTCTGAAGCAACTAATTTTTACATTACAAATCAACCGTTGAAAACAGATTGAATAAATCTAACATGTTAGATGAACAAATCTGAATTTTTTAGAATGACGTCCTGAGAAAATATACGTAACGATGTATTCAGGAATATATGGAGAGTGTTGATATATCATGTTTACAATGGTTTCTTATTTTTTCAGAAATCATGGTCAAGTAACTTCCTAATAAACAGTAGTATTATGTGGAGAGCTGACCGTTATAACTCAAGCTTATAATCTCTGGAATGGCTCAGAAGTGTAGGCCTGAAGATTGTTTGTGGGGCCGGTGAAATGTCACTGAGCCCTAATCAAATCATCCGGCAGTCGGGCCACTGAATGTCGAACAGTTCACTGATCTTCGTCAAGTTCAAGGAAGATCAATGCGCATCAATTAATCTCACACCATTGACTGGCTCATGCGGTGGTGGTCACAATCCCTTGTACCTACTCTTACTAATACATTTCTGCAATAACGTCCTTTGTGTTAAAGGGCCTTCAAAGCAGCCATATTGCTTTTATACGTCGAACGGTTAATCTACGTTAGATATGGACCGCGCGGTGTGACATTGAATTGAGCTAGTCCGTCATGCCATTCCCATCTATTTCCTGTTGGTCCCAATCACTCGTGCGCCATCCACGTTGGCGACCAACGAGTTTCCTAATTCGGAACTCAATAGGTCCGTATTAATAACGGTCTATATTTAACCAAACAGTGTAACACCAGTAGCAGAATAGAAAATGTCCATATTCAGTTCTGTTAGTAGTTCGACTATGCTCAAGTATTCTTTCGATGTATATTATGGCCTTAAATTTATGCAGTCCTGAAGTGGATATGTGGTCGATCCCATGTCCCACATGCACATTTTACACGTGGCAATAACGACGTACATACAATATTGACGAGAAATCCAGTAGATATTTTAGGAACTACCAGTATGGATAGAGCATGCTTAATGAAATCACAATAATAAGCTGTTTGTGGATAATAATAATATTAAAATGCTGAAAACAAAATGGAATACCATGTCTCTGAAATAACAAAAACCAGTTATTCCTCCTGCGCCATAAGGCCCTACCTTATATCCCCTACTATTTCTTCCGTAAGTCAATTGATTACGGAGACTGTTTAGGTAATTGGCACTCTTGATTTCGGGTGACATCAGTCTGAATAAACGGACTAATTATATCAATTTTCATGTTCATTTTAACAAATAAGTTAGATAGTTCGCAAGTCGATATTCCAGTATTAAGTCTGGAAACTATGTGCAAATCTGCATCGTCTATTGCACTAATTACCAGTATGTCATCAATGGAACACCACTTCCACAATTCCAGGGATAGGAAAACCTTCCATAGAATTTGATTAAGATAAGGTTTGAATCTTTCAACTCACAAATGTGAAACTTAAAGTAGGATATTACATGCAAACAATAAGTATTACTGTGCATCCCGACACATGTGGGGTTTAAAGATATCACTGTTATACAGAGTTTGATAACATTGTTGTCTGTAACGCTTTTTCTACCAGGGATTCCAAAGTCAGTCAAACCAGAAGTGAGGGATAAAGGATTTCTAAAAATGTTTGGAAAAATTTTGACACTGAGAGTTTTATAATCTGATGAGTAGCACGGCGTAGCCAATGGAGATCTGATATGGATTCCTGACCAAGAATATTCGGCAATAGTGAACCCGACAAAACTAAAGAGAATAACACCAATACAGAATAAATTCAAACCCTTATATTTCGAGGATTTATTCGCCGTTATAAACGTCTAAATTTGTGATAACTAAGTGATTGACATGTCTTCTCAAACTATTTACAACGAGCCATTGGAACGCTTTAACTTCACTCTTATATATATAACCGTAGACCTTTCAGTGGCTCTCAGTAGCTTGAATACTGATTCGAGTGTCAAGATTTGTTATCTTTTTACTAATTGTAGCACAAAACACCTACAAGTAAATCTCAGAAAGTTTTCAATAAGATCTAATTAACTCAAGGTGAGATCGCAACTTTCTTATCCAGTGGTCAAAGAATGAAACACATTAACCTAATTACTGATATCGCCCTTTCTATGAAGCATATTTAAGAGGAAACGTACTTTCACTGGAAGAACAGCTCCAAGGTTTAATGCCGTTCGCACTCCCTACATTCCTTGTTACTGAGAGCTGAAGACAGTAAACACAACGATTATCGATTTATAGAACGCTAACCATAAGCTTTAAACTCCAGTAGGTACAGGATAAGCCCCTCCTCGCATTTTCAAATTTGAGTTACTTGATTTTCCGTACATTTGTTTTGTTACACACAATGAACACGTTTGAGTAGTACGTTACCATGTGGGTTGTTTCCATACTTCCAATGACTTTTGTTTCCAAAAAAATTACAGGAACACTACCGGTGATGTTCATAATCACAGTCCTATCAAAGACATATACCTTGGAACAGAATGTGGCAAGATAACCGAAGTTAATGAGTTGATTATTGGAAGGCGAATAGTTCATGAAAAAAACTTCGGGACTATTTGTTATGTCGGTGGTTTGCCAAAAACGAATGGTCCTTGGCTTGGAGTTGATTGGGATGACTGGTCGCGCGGCAGACATGATGGAACCTACGATGGTGTCCGGTACTTTCAGGCTAAAGGTCCCACTTCCGGCTCATTTGTGAGGTGAGTAGTAGTGTTTATTGGTGAAAAGAAAGCTATGGCCCTAAGCAACAATCAGCAAAGCAGAAAATAGTTTATCTTCATGGCAATCTGTTATTAAGATGCTAAAATTATGACGAAGTTCAGACATAACTATTAAGAATGTTACAAGTTGGTAGTCCGTATGGAATTAGCAGTTTACTGTAGGTACTAGGATTGTTACACTATACCATCCGACATCTTAGTGATCCGTAGACTAGTTTTAGCCTTTTTTGGTTCGGTTTGTTATTTGTTTTGCTTGCGTACACGAAACACATATGCACTTCCAAGCTGTCTATTTATATAAGTGCACAGAATATTGTAGTTTTTTAAAAATACCTAGCTCTTGTTTCATTGACGCACAGTCTCTACCTGTGTAGTCTTATTCAATGTAACATTCCATAGTAATTTCAGTCAAATAAACCTTGTGTGTGATGTGTAGCTTCAGTAAATTTATTGAAGGTCATATCAAAATCCCGGCGAGTTTTGTGCAGGCCGACTTAATCGACAGAATCTATAGTTACAGTTGCTACGGACGGAATAAGAGAATGTTTGTCTAGCATTGTAATGTTAGTTCCTAAATTACCCAGTTTTCTTCAATGTCTGCGTTTTAGCAAACGCACAGTAGTTCGGCGAGACTAAACACATGGACGACCTTTGAACGAATCTTAAATGACCTTGAGAAATATTAGCCAATCAGAAGACAGTTAGCAAACAGTAAAAATATATTATACAAAACTCAAAAATTAAAAGGGATACTGTTCTTTTACATGAATCAAAAACTTATCAAAGTCAGATATAGGTTCAGAAGTTCTAAAATCATAGTGCATCCGGCACAGGGACTCATCCCTGTGGCTCCATAGTAGTCGACCTCTGGAACCATGATAAACTCCCAAAAATTCTTTCAGCCTCGACCACATAGTTTCAGTGTTGTCGGTATGTTGGTATAGTTTAGGGTTAAAGATGAGACTATAAATTATGGACGACATTTGAGCGACGCTAGAGTGAATCTGAGAGTGTCAACGCAATAACTAAGACTAAATGAGGGTTATAAACCCGTGTGAAGAAATCAAATTATGATTTACAGTTCATGGTTAAGGTTAGGAATTATACTTAGGGTTTTCATCACGAATTGACATCAGCTATAATGCCACAACTCTATCCAAATGTAAAATTGAATTTTTCGCCAAAATCTTATCATAGCTTATCTTGTAGACGCTTAATTATCATGTTTTCTCTTAAATCAGTTCTAAACCGACCGTACGTAAGCGTCAGGTACCGAACTTAGCGCCGTGACCTTGAAAACCCCCGAAAGCTTCTGATTGGCTCGTCCATGTTCTTTAGTCTCGCCAGTAGTTCTCCATGTAAGGACATCTAACTTTCTCTAGAACCGTAGGAGCCTGTAAGTAATAATTACAGCCGGTTAATTCGGCATACAGATATGTAGGTTCAACTAAGGAAAATACTCTGGTAGAACTATTAGTTAGGAACTGGAGTAGATTTCTCTATGGCTTTTGAACTGACAAATCTCAACGAAATCATTTTAGCGGACCAAATAGGTTAAGCCGTTTAAATAACTTATAAGAACGAGCAACAAACCTATACAACGGTCATACCCAGTGGTGTATTAAAAAAACAAAATATGTAAGAGCAGAAACTATATGTGGTAATAAACATTTATGGAGATTGAGTCTGAATCGTCTACAGTTAGTAGAAACTTGTCAGAAGATGAATTTAACTGTGTCATCCCAAACTAGACTGTAAATACTGAACAGATTGTCTCCAACTCTATTATAGATACTCGTTACTCGCCAACAGCCCGAATAAAAAATTGAAATTAGGTCTCTGCTTCTACTGAGTCAAATGCTGCCTTTATGTCAAGCTGCATTTGACTCAGTTGGCTGAAAGATTATGTGACGGTATCTGTCATTGAACGGTGCACCTCAGAAACACAAACTATGTGAGAGCTCTTTCCTCGAACACTACCAGATGAGTCAGAGTTTATGGCAAATTGTCATCTGATTTTGCAACCTTAAGTGGTGTCCGTCAAGGCTGTTCACTATCTCCATTTCTGTTTAACTTCATCACAGATCTACTGCTGGAAATAACGTTCTCGTCGTCTGGATTTTCAGGAACTGGTCTCTTACCAGGAGGTCCACTTATCGACCTAGAAAACGCAGATTACATAGTTCTGTTTGGTGAAGACGCTAAAAAAATGCAGAGTCTTCTGTTAGAACTGAGCAACAATGCCAGGATATTTGAAATGCGTTTCTGCCTCTATAAATGTAAATTGTTACTTCAGGACTGGCCTGCGTCAACACCTAAACTAAGAATAGGAAGTGAAGTAGTCGAACAGCTGAGAGTCTTTTGGTAGCACTGAGAAACAATACCAGGATGTTTAGGATGCATTTCTCCTCAAAATGTAAATTGTTGCTTCAGATTTGGCTTGCGTCAACAACTTCACTTATCTTGGATGTCTGATAAACCATAATGGGTTAGTGTCTGCAGAAATCTATGCATGGATTCAAATGAGTGTCTGGGTTTCGCCAACTTACGTCACCTATGTCGAAGGCGAGATATCCGTTTATCAATTAAGGAACGAGTATACTGCGCAGCAGTTCGTTCTGTTTTAATTTACGGCTGCGAAACTTACTTACTTACTTTCGCCTGTTACTCCCAATGGAGCATAGGCCGCCGACCAGCTTTCTCCAACCCACTCTGTCCTGGGCCTTCTTTTCTAGTTCTATCCAGTTCTTGTTCATTATTCTCATGTCTGTCTCTATTTCTCGGCGTAATGTGTTCTTTGGTCTTCCTCTTCTCCTTTGACCTTCAGGATTCCATGTGAGGGCTTGTCTTGTGACACAATCAGGTGATTTCCTCAAGGTGTGCCCAATCCACTTCCAGCGCTTCCTCCTGATTTCTTCCTCCACTGGAATCTGGTTTGTTGTCTCCCACAGTAACTTGTTGCTGATAGTGTCTGGCCATCTGATCCGAAGTATTATGCGTAGACAACTGTTAATAAACACTTGTATCTTCTGAATAATGGCTTTCGTAGTTCTCCACGTCTCCGCCCCATGCAATAGAACTGTCTTGACATTTGTATTGAAAATTCTAACCTTGGTGTTGGTTGACAATTGTTTTGAGTTCCAGATCTTTTTCAGTTGTAAGTATGCTGCTCTTGCTTTGCCGATCCGTGCCCTCACATCTGCATCTGATCCACCGTGTTCATCAATGATGCTGCCCAGATATGTAAAGGTTTCCACATCCTCCAAAGCTTTTGATTGGTGCATATTGTATTGTATCGGAGAGTCCTGCCTTTTCCTTTGTTTATATTGAGACCTACTGCTGCTGAGGCTGCTGCTACACTGGTCGTTTTCTCCTGCATTTGTTGTTGCGTGTGTGATAGAAGAGCCAGATCATCCACGAAGTCTAGATCGTCAAGTTGCATCCTGCCTGTCCACTGTATCCCGTGATTTCCTCCAGTCGTTAACGTCTTCATGATCCAGTCGATGACCAGGAGAAAGAGAAACGGTGAGAGTAAGCAACCTTGTCTAACACCGGTCTTTACCTCGAATGAGTCGGTGAGTTGTCCTCCGTGGACGATTTGGCAGTTTAGTACATCATAGGAGTTTCGTATGATATTGACTATCTTCTCAGGCACGCCGTAGTGTCGAAGAAGCCTCCATATTGTCGTCTTGTCCGCGCTATCAAATGCCTTCTCGTAGTCGATGAAGTTGATGTAGAGTGATGAATTCCATTCGATTGATTGTTCCACAATGATACGTAGAGTTGCGATTTGGTCTGTACACGATCTATCCTTACGAAATCCAACTTGTTGATCTCGAAGTTGGGCGTCCACGGAATCCTTCATCCTGTTTAACAATACTCTGTTGAAGACCTTTCCTGGTATTGAGAGAAGAGTGATGCCCCTGTAGTTATCGCACTTGCTAAGATCGCCTTTCTTTGGTATCTTGATCAGAAGTCCTTTTTTCCAGTCTATTGGTACTTGTTCTTCGTCCCAAATCTTACTGAAGAGGATGTGGAGTATCTTGGCAGTTTCTGCTACGTTTGCTTTCAGTGCCTCTGTCGGGATGTTGTCTGGTCCCGCTGCTTTGCCGCTCTTGATTTGTCTAATGGCCATGCTGATCTCTTTAATTGTTGGTGGGCCAACATCGATTGGGAGGTCTGTGGGTGCTGCTTCGATGTTGGGTGGGTTCAGTGGAGCTGGTCGATTCAAGAGTTCCTTGAAGTGCTCGACCCACCTGTTTCGTTGTTCTTCAATGTCGGTGATTACTTTGCCTTTGCTGATCTGATCTTCAGTCTAGGTATTTGAGTATTTGAATAGTGACCTAGGGATATAATCATCCTTTTCGGTTTGAACAGTTAAAGAATATAGTAATCCCTGATACGGTAGAGATAAATCAAGACATTTCGCTTCTTTAGAAATCATAAAGGTTACTTCAATTCATGCTTATTTTCGTTATTTTCCGTACACAGTCATCTTATAGCTTATTTCATTTATTTTTATGTCTTAATTCCAACTTAATAAACTCCGCTTATTTTATCCAATCTTGCTTTTAGGCCTTCAAAGGTGTCATTGGGTACCAGTCTAGAGGAAGCTCTCGTATATAGATATTCTGTCTGCACAACCTGTCAACTGGAAACTCAGACTTCTTTGCAATCACGGGAAAAGCCTACAGGTAGTTCTCATAATATCCTCGTTCATGAATGCACCCAACTTGGTCATCTAAACAGTTACCTTGGTAGTACTGCGGAGGAAGCTGAATACTTCGGTACTCACGAATACCCAAAAGACACATTACGAATCGAACTTTACACTAATCCTGGGACTTACCATCAATTGACTTCTCATGACGACTTGTGTGGAACAGCTGCAGCCAAAAGTTGCCTCAACCGATTAAAAAGTGTTAGTTTGTCTTCTATGCCCGTATATCGTGCCCTATATGGAAAAAGTGACTTTTTCCCTGATCGACAACTTGAATACTCATCACTTTGGCCATCATCTGGAGGCTGTCTCGACCAGTTTTTATCCAGTTTATGCGATCTGGAAATGAGCAATTGTTTGTTGTCAAAGTGGACAGAAATTGCCGAGGTGTGTTTTCATTTTCATTGGCACTTTGTTCATTCTTTCTTCTACAAAAATTAACTGTGTTTATATGTCTTATTAGATTTGTATTCAAGTTCCGTGGTTAAAATCCTTGAATGTCAGTAACAACCGCATTCGTTTACCTGTTTCTCCAAAAGAAGTACATGATAAACAAAAAGAAAATGAATGTCTGGAATCTAAACTTTTATATGACATATACTCAGACCCTGTCCTGAGTGAACGGTTGTGTTCGAACGCTTTTCCCCAGTTGTCGCAGCTTACTTTAGTCAAATGCCCACTCCTAAATTGGAAAAGTATTAGGAGAGTATTATGTTGGATGCCATCTTTACAGTCGTTATCTCTGGCTTACAATAATGTGAGTAAATGTCTTCCTTGTGTTTTACTTATTCAAGTAATTAATTGTAATGTATATTGTTCACTTAACCTTAAGTATTACATCCTTTCAATAGTGTTAATGTGTATTTAGACAGATTACTCAACTTAGCAAATTTTTTTTTAGTCTGTTTTAAAGATAGCTTCTAGAATGACTTAAGGGTTTTAATTTCTACATTATTTCAATTCTAATAACTTTTTGTTATGTCCATCATCATTCAACTTTCAGGAATTCCTAAGATTCACCTTCACACAATATTTCATTTTTGTATGGTCGCACACTTCTGATCTCTATATTGTTCCTAAAACCCTGTAATTTCATATTAACTTATTTATCAGTGTAGTTTCAAAAGTTCACTTGCTTATGTAATTTCAACCAATGATCTGACCGCCAACATAAGATTTCGCAACGAAGAAAGTCATTCCATAATATACCTCGAGTAGCGAAAATATCAATAATGAACCACATAAATTCCATTAAATTGGTAATATTTCACTTTCGAGTTCTGTGTTTCGATAAAGACCGTTACCATCTCCTAGTCTGATACATGTGTAAATTATGGTAAAGAGATTCCTACATCACTAGAAGACTTTAAACAACCTTCATGTCTTTATATAAATTTAAGTCTTAGGAAGCAGTTGTAAATTAATAACCTGCAAATGATCGTGTAAAGTAATTGTCAAATTTTTCATATTCCTTGCATCTGCATCTAGGTAACGTGCTAAAGCCCCCAAATGCCCTGGTACAGCCGAGAGTGGGAAGAGTCACCTCTCCCTCTCGAAATGCTCTCACATGACCACGCGAATATATAGCCTCTGACAGGGAAGTCCTACTCGTGGCGGGGGTGTTGTTTACGAAATTGAGAAGACGAAAAGCGAATGTCCGGCGGTTTAACCGGGTTGGTGGACACCAAAAGTTCACCTAGGGGAGTTGGAAAACCCTGATTCCAAACCAATTGTGTAAATGGGCTCCAGTATCCTGAAGGAACAAATGGCGTATGAACCAACCGTTGGTCACCGGCTACCTCACGATGCTCCACTGCCTTGTGGACTAGACCTTCAGGTCAAAGGCTCGGGGTGTGGCCCCCTAAGAAAACCACCTGTTTCAGTCTAGGCACCTGGGCAGTATCACAGCCCTCACACAAATCGAATGAGATTTGTGAGGCGCATATTTATCTGGTGCTTCCTTGTACCGATATTTATGTGTTTAAATAAATAAAAAATAAAACGTGCTAAAACAACCACCTATAAACCGTTTACTTTAATGTACAATGTGAAAACAAATATCAAGCTTCATGGACTTAAAAATAAAATAAAATCGGTATTGAGCACTTTGTTACCCTATAAGTGTAGTCACAAACCCTAAGGAAAAACTTCTTGAGATCCGCCAATTAGCTGCCCTAAAGTCTTAAGTTATAAGGCTTTCTTTTGTGTTTTTTTTAACTAAAAAACATCCAGTCATGGTATGTTTATGAATTGTTTGATTACATTTTAGTTGGGCAATCCTCCAATTGACTGGGGAAAAAATGCTATTGATGCTTTCCAAAAGTTGACTGACTTAGACTTAACTCACATAAATCTAACGGCCACTCATCAGTTATTCGCTCTTATTGGAGCCTCCAAATATCTAAACAACCTACTATTAAATTATAACGAAATAGCGGACATTCCAGATCTAAATAATCATTTGTTTCGAAACCTCAACACTCTTGGGTTAAAGAACAACTTATTCACAAATTGGAATTTCGTTAATCAGTTACTGAATTTATCCAAATTGGATCATTTAATGGTATCAGGATGCCCAGTTTTCGAGAACTCTGTCAAGTAAGCTAATTTAGTCAAGTCTTTTCTATCAGATTATAAAACTGTCAGGTTCGTTTTTACTTACATACTTAACATTTTAACATTAAATAAAAAACTACTGTGGTTGAATCTAAGCTGAATTATCCTTTCTTATATATTCAGACAAACAGGTTAGGATCGGAAACCTTACTCATATGTATTTAAAAATATACTACCAGAAGGGTAGCTAATTTTACGGTTTATCGCCCAGCTATGTTGTGACTACAATTTTTAATGAATGACCAGGTAGTGAATGAGTTGTTCATATTCCTATTAAACTTCAACATACAACTACCGTCGACTAATATGGAAGAATTAAATATATTTCCATACTTTTAATAGTTCTAAATCCTGTCGTTTATAAATTCCATAAACACTAGTTTTAATTGTCCAGACGAGGTTGTGGTTATTTGACAGAATATACACGCATAAACGAATAATGATGCTGCTATATCCTAGTAAAGATTAAATTACGAGTAACTTCCGAGGTCCATTAATGGACTAATTATATATATATTATTGTATAACTACTCAGTAATTAAATTGTATGCATCTACATTCATCTTATTATAAGTTTCATTTTGACCTATAGAATATTATTATACGATTTACTATCCTTAAATTATACTCAGTTTACTAATTACCGTCTCCTATGTTCACAGCCACATTTTGGCTTGATCTTGTACAAATGTTATTTCTTGTTTTATGATGTGATGTGGTCTGTTTTGTCTGGTATATAAACCAAATATGCTTGAAATAAATGATTCGCATAGTAAGAGTTGTTATTGGTGTTCTGGACTCAAGTGGACGGGTTAAGCGAGCAAAGAACCAATAAGGACGCCAGGCTGCTCATACCGGTCGACCGTCATTGTTTTGGCAGTGCTAAGATTGGATAAGTCGTATTTCGGTTAGTGAATAGATCACATAATAAAAAAGCGGGCTTAGATTCACAAAAGATACACCTTTTCCAAAACAACTAAATAGTTATTACAGCTTTTTCACCATTGGGTTGTTTACAACACCTCATTGTGAAATAAATATTCCTTTACCTTTTGCACTAGTGATCGCCTAGTGATCTTTATAGAAAATAAAATGTGAAATCCTGTTCTATTTAGAAACCTACCGTATTTGGAGTATGCCCAAATCCATGACCATCCAAATCTCAAGTTACTCCGTAAAATAAAAACTTAATAGCTCCTAGTTGTACTAAGTAGCCATATTGCTCACTCACATGGTAATCAATATTTACAAAATACTTGGTTCAGTGAAGTGTAAAAAAGTCCGTCACACAAATTGGACCGACAATGTCTCTTAATAGTAAGCGAAGAATGAAAGTTTGAGAAGAAGTGAATTCAATTAAAAACATACCAGAATAGATCTCATTCTCGCTAAGAAATATTTTCCCGTTTTTCAAAGAACAGGGAAGATAACTATAACTGGATCACCATCGGCTTCTATATTGACCTGTGTTTGAAAGTGTCTCTTGTTACTGAGACTCACATGATATTTCTTACTTCGCCTAGGCGCTCGTTACCAGCAAATTATTACTTCCAAGAATTACTTACCCATTGCTGTAGGCAAACGTGAGCAATTTCTCTGAGATGAAGTTAATCGTAACTTAAAATACCCATTTCGTTGAAAATAAAGTTCACAAGCATAAAGCCGAACTGGTAGTGTAATGAACGAAGACTCGGTGGGGATAATCAATCTGTTGTTTAATGCAAAATTACAGTGTCTAGGTAAAGTATGGAAACCATACATTATTTGCACATCCTTCAGTTGTCCTTTACATGCTTCATGATTCTTTCAATTCTTTTGTTATTACAATTGCACTCTGTTTACATTCCTGTTCTGTTCAACTCAATTTTCTGCTGCTAGGCATTCTACGTCTGTTACGTACTATTTATATCAGTCAACATAATAGCATACACCACAGTAGTACCATACCATTGTCCACTAGGGCTTTGATGACTAGCTTAACGTTATAACTTCTCCAATGTTAGTTTAAATTGCTCTAGTGTTGGTTTTTTTATGCGTGGATGAACCTGTTTTGTCATACCAGCATTTATGCAACTACGATTTAGTATGCACTCGACCATTTTTACGCCTCGTGAACAGGAGTGAATCCAAGTACAACTTCCTTCTAATCCTGTAGAAGAACTGTACACTTCTACAGTCCAAGTGCATCCATTATTGGTTAGTGATCGTCAAGTGATTAAATGTAGTTCAAGTACCCTACATCCAATGGCACAATAAGACGGTATCATCTGCACACTCTGTGTCATAAATTACTCTTCTGGGCAACGGGTTTGCATCACCACACCTGAATCTTCTCAGTTTTTTCCCTGAATTTCATTAATGGTGAGATCGGATAACCCTGACTAGCTCCATCTCTGATTTGAGGTGAGAAAAAGTTTTTTATCATTGTATCTAAAATAAATGACTTTGTCCAGAACTATCTGAATGTTGGTAAATTTATCAAATGCAATTTCCTTCAGTAAACAGTTTCAGAATGCAGTCCTATGCAATGAATCGTATTTAGAGACGATATCTGCTAACTTAACACCTCGCTTATATTTGCTCTCTATCTCCATGTATCCTAACTCTTTTTTTATTTTGCGAGCAATTTACATAGTCATCCATCAAACCGTCAAAAATCAATTACACCCAGCAATTCTGTGTAAAGTCCATTACTGTTTGTTGCTATTTGCCTAGTTTCACTTGTCGATTGTAAGGTTGTAAAACTTTATGGGTTCATCGCTTTGTAATAAGAAAGATGATTTCATATCTGTTCACCGCTCATTTACTATTGCAGTATTAATATTTCAACCGGGAATAAATGGATTTTGTTCTCATAATACATTTTTATATATTCTTACTGTTTTAGTATAGCAACCGCTCGTCAGGAAGTCATTGCCCGTTTGCCAAATCTTAAAATGTTAGATCGTGTCGAGATCACTCCTGAAGAGCGCCGCGGATCTGAATTGGACTACTTAAAACGTTATGGAGCTAGCTGGTTAGACTGTTGTAGAGGCGATCAAAATAGTAAACAGACTAACGGTCCTAAACTTTTGGAGGAATTCTACAAACTGCATCCGGTTTTCTCCAGACTTTGTGATAAATATGGAGCTCCTGAAATTGGAGAAACCAAGGTAGCACGTTATTATTTTTGGCTTCTTCCCAGTTTGCTTTCTCTATGTGATGAAATGACTAAGTTGACCGTACCAAAATTAAGTATTGGAGATAAATAAGAAAGATGAACTATGCTAACTAGTTCAAACATCATCGTCGTCTAAAATAAGGGAAGATCAATGAAATATAATATAGTTTAGAAGCTTCAATAAACGACCAAACCTTTTAATTGGTCTGAGGTATTTATGATAGTATCGGAATTCTCTTTAGTACCAAATTAAGTTGCAGGAAAATATGTTAGTTCGCTTAGAATAAGGAGGTAAATTCAAGGACATATGCAACAGCTGTTTGAAATAACTCGATGAATTAGTTTCGATATGTTTAACTCTTAAAGTTCTTCATTTTCCAGAGTAATGTATTTGTGTGGAAATTGTGAATCCTTTGCTTGAATATGCACAAACTATCTTATACTGTCTAGTTATTTGGTTATAGCATTGGTTTCAGAAGTTTCTGTTCGACTAAGCGCATCATCAGTTTTCATTTCAAGCTATATCATACTCCCAATCCACTGAATTAACTCGTCGATGACTTCATCACAAACGTTTTCTGTTAGAATATTTTAGCGTCTACTCTCTGTTTTTTAAGTTCCTTTAAAATCTTTTTGTGAGGATGGTCCACAGGTGAAGTCGCGGAGGCTCTAGGAAGCCCAGGAAGAGCCGCAGACATTCCATCCAATCAGGGCTAGGGGAATGTTCTAGAAATGCCAACGTGGAGCTTCTCCATTGGATGGATTAGTTTGATACCTATGTGCTTATTGGTTGACCTAAATGATAATTTACTTTCAGCCAAAAACTATAAATACACGAGATTTCTGTGCTATATTTTGACATTGTTCGGGGCAATAAACTTCCTGCTTACCAGTCTTTGTCTTCTCTCTTTGCGACGTTGCGGGTTCTATCGTTCAAGTAGTCAAGTAGTTCGCGGCATATTAAGAATCAAGGCTCTAGATATAACAACTGGCGACGGGTTAATTTATCAAGATGTCTATTACCTTTGACCAATTTGAAGCTTTTCTAGAGCGCCATGAAAAACGGCTTGAACAATTCCAGATGCGCATACTCGAAAAACTAACCCAGCAGATGAACCTCAATAAGAATGGACTTACAGATGTTTCTGCCAAATCGCATGCTAATTGTATCATTGATTCCATTCACGAATTTCATTTTGATGGTGTTGCTGGTGTAACATTCGAATCTTGGTACAAGAAATATGAAGATGTATTTAATGTCGACCTAGAAACTTTTGATGATGCCGCCAAGGTCAGGGTGCTACTACGAAAGCTGGGTACCATTGAACATGAACGATATACTAATTACATTCTGCCCAAGAACCCAAGAGACATTTCATTCGAAGAAACAGTTAAAATTTTGTCGCAAATTTTCGGTGAACAGTCTTCCTTGTTCAATATTCGATATCAGTGCTTGAAAATAGTAAAAGCCGGCAATGATGACTGGGTGCAACATGCTAGCATAATAAATCGCGAATGTGAGCGCTTTAAACTATCAGCAATGACAGAAGACCAATTCAAATGTCTTGTTTTCGTATGCAGTTTACAATCTTCAGAAGACGCCGACATTAGAACCAGAATTCTAAGCAAAATTGAACAGTGTCCAAATATCACCCTTCAAGAGGTGACTACTGAATGTCAGCATCTGGTAAACTTGTAGCATGACACTTCAATGGTAGAAAATAATGGTCGACTACCTTATGTACAGGCAGTAAGTGGGAAGCAAAAGCAGAACACAACCATTAAGAAGCCTCCATCCGCATGTTGGTTTTGCGGTGAGCTGCATTACAAAAGGTTCTGCCCATACAAAAACTACCGGTGCACTAGATGTCAGCTCAAAGGACATAAAGAAACATGTTGTAAAAAGAAGATGCACCGTCGATCATCAAGTGTTCATTTCCGAAGACGTAAAAATTGTTCATCAATCAATAGAATAATGGTAGCACATACTAGAACAGAACATAATCGAAGAAAATATGTGACCTTAGAGATAAATGGGCGCCGTGCTCGTCTACAGCTTGACACTGCTTCAGATATTTCACTGATCAGCCGCAAAACATGGAGTCATATTGGCAAACCCTCGGTGCTCCCTACAACCCAGTTAGCACACAGTGCATCTGGAGGAAAGTTAAATATTGTTGGAGAGATATACTGTCCAGTTAAAAAAGGGAATGTACAGAAGAATGTGAAAGTATATCTCACGGAAAGCCCAGGACTAGACTTATTGGGACTTGATCTAATAGAAACTCTTAAGCTAGCAGATCATTCTATTAATAGCATCTGCAAACGAGTGACTATTGACAACTCCTCAAGGTGTAACCAGAAAAGTACCGTGCCGCAAAGACATCACAACGTTTTTAAAGAATTGGGAGAATGTACGAAGGCCAAAGCTTTGTTAATCCTCAAACCTGGTGCTACTCCCGTTTTTCGACCCAAAAGACCTGTGCCCTACGCAGCTCTACCGATTGTTGAACAAGAATTAGAACGACTGCAAAAAAGTGGAATTATAGAACCAGTGAACTTTCTGATTGGGCAGCTCCAATAGTAATTGTTAAAAAGCCTAATGGAAGTATTCGATTATGTGCAGACTATTCCACTGGATTAAATGACGCACTTGAAGATCATCAGTACCCCTTACCATTACCAGAAGACTTATTTGCGAAACTTAACGGGGGTAAGTATTTTGCAAAACTAGACCTATCAGAAGCATATTTACAGATTCCAGTAGCGGAAGAATGCAAACATTACTTGACAATAAACACTCATAAAGGGTTGTTTCGATATAATAGACTTCCGTTTGGAGTAAAGACTGCCCCTTCAATCTTTCAACAAGTTATGGATACTATGCTACAAGATATTCCTGGTACTGCGGCCTATCTTGACGACATACTGATCATGGGTACAGACTATGCTGACCTGGAGAAGAAGGTAGATATGGTCCTCAGACGCATAGCAGATTTTGGGTTTACATTACGTGCTGAAAAATGTGATTTCTACATGGAACAAGTCCGCTATTTGGGATTTATAATTGATAAAAACGGAAGAAAACCTGATCCTGAAAACGTCGAGGCTATCAAGTCCATGCCTCCACCAACTGATGTGTCAACTTTACTCTCTTTCTTGGGAATGGTTAGTCATTATGGAGTTTTTCTTCCAGAACTGCATCGCCTTCGTGCTCCTCTTAATGGGTTGCTGAAAAAAGATACCAAATGGTTCTGGTCATCTGAGTGCCAAGAAGCTTTCGTAAAACTAAAACAGCTCCTGTCATCAAACCTTCTACTCACACACTATGATCCAGAGCTTCCCATCATAGTCGCAGCAGATGCGTCCAACTACGGAATCGGCGCAGTGATCGCACATACCTACCCAGACGGGTCTGAGAAGGCAATCGCCCACGCTGCACGGTCGCTGACTATGACAGAAAGAAACTATAGTCAGATAGAAAAAGAGGCCCTCTCTATTATATTCGCAGTAAAGAAGTTCCACAAGATGCTATTTGGCAGACAATTTACCCTACTAACAGACCATAAACCACTGCTGACAATTTTTGGATCGAAAAAAGGTATACCTGTATATACAGCAAACCGTCTACAGAGATGGGCAACGACACTACTGGGCTATGATTTCAAGATAAAGTACCAACCAACAACGGATTTTGGACAGGCAGATGCCCTTTCAAGACTAATTAGTTCCCGTACAAAACAAGAAGAGGAGGTGCTCGTGGCTGCCGTAGATGTTGAGGCCGAGGTTCACACAGTATTAACAGACGCAGTTTCCGGACTTCCAGTCACATTCGAAGCTATTAAAGGAGCTAGTGAGAAAGATAACGTGTTGAAGTTTGTTCGCCGCTGCATACTCAACAAGTGGCCTTCGTCGAGACTAAATGGAGAACTCTTGCAATTTTTCCGTCGACGAGACTCATTGACAATTGTAGATTCCTGCATCATGTTTGGCCACCGTATCGTTATCCCCAGAAATCTTCGAAACCAAGTCCTTAAGCAGTTCCACAGCGGACACCCGGGGATAAGTAAAATGAAGTCGTTAGCTCGAAGCTACGCATACTGGCCATCAATGGACCATGATATAGAGCAAAAATGTCGCAGTTGTTCGTCCTGTTTAGAGGCCGCAAAGAACCCAAATAAAGCTGAACCGCAACCATGGCCAAAACCAGACGGTCCCTGGCAAAGAATACACGCTGATTTTGCCGGCCCAGTACAAGGCAGAAATTACTTGGTTGTTGTCGACGCCTTCACGAAATGGCCAGAAGTATACGACATGCCGAAAATGACGTCAGAGAGTACTATAAGAAAATTGACAGGTTTGTTCGCTTGTTTTGGGGTTCCTGAGATCTTAGTGACTGACAACGGCACTCAGTTCATGTCATCTGTCTTTAAACGGTTTTGCACTGAAAATGGCATATCACATCTACAGTCTCCCCCGTACCATCCTCAGTCGAATGGCCAAGCAGAAAGATTCGTGGATACTATAAAACGAGCTCTAGTTAAAGGGGGAGGAGAGGCCATCCCAGAACAAGTAATCAGCAAGTTCCTTTTGTCTTACAGAGTTACCTCCAATCCGGCAGTACCCGAAGGTAAGTCACCAGCCGAGTGTATGTTCGGAAGGAAAATTCGAACAATCTTTAGCAGTATGTTGCCACCTAGAAAGACAAGAAAACCCACGAATGGAAACCATATGGTCACTCGTAGCTTCAAGGTGGGTGAAAGGGTACTCGTTAAATCGTATCAAGGTGGAAAAAGGTGGGAACCAGGTATTATAGAACGTCGAATTGGAAGCGTATTGTATTTAATCCGAAGAAATGTCGGTACTTGTATAAGACACATCAATCAAATTCGAAGGGATGGCAGAACATGGATGCCACAAAGCCGGCTCCCATTTCATTTGCTCATGGATTCGTCTCCAAAAAGCACTCAGGCGCGCGAAGGTAGAAAAGATAAAAGACGCAAGAGCAAGGCGACACAACCTTCGAGAGTAATGAGTCGCAAGAGAATCGCGGTAACTCAATTCCAGGTGGATCCGAGAAAAAGGACTTATACAACAGACTTTAAAGGGGGGAGGTGTGAGGATGGTCCACAGGTGAAGTCGCGGAGGCTCTAGGAAGCCCAGGAAGAGCCGCAGACATTCCATCCAATCAGGGCTAGGGGAATGTTCTAGAAATGCCAACGTGGAGCTTCTCCATTGGATGGATTAGTTTGATACCTATGTGCTTATTGGTTGACCTAAATGATAATTTACTTTCAGCCAAAAACTATAAATACACGAGATTTCTGTGCTATATTTTGACATTGTTCGGGGCAATAAACTTCCTGCTTACCAGTCTTTGTCTTCTCTCTTTGCGACGTTGCGGGTTCTATCGTTCAAGTAGTCAAGTAGTTCGCGGCATATTAAGAATCAAGGCTCTAGATATAACACTTTTAGATATTTTTCCACCCAATCAGTACTTGAACCCATTTTCACCCACTTGGGTTTGATTAACAGGATAGTATCGTTAGCACTAAAAATATTCTGCATTGTTTCCCCTGTACTATTTAAACTTGTGTTAATTTAATTCGGTTATTCATTCACTATGAAGAAGTGGTTTACATTAAGTCACGAAACATCATAAACACAATTTTTCTACTCGTTGGAATACAATAACAACAAAATTATTATTAACTTTCTACCCAATGCTCAATTTACTTGAAACTATCAAGTCTAACCTTGGCATTGATACCTACATCAGTGTTTCCGTACCTCTCTAGTTTCTATTATCAGCGATCAGACAATCTAAAAAATCCATATTTATTTTGATTTGCTGATTAAAGGTCTTTTTATTGCTACGTAATTATTTTTCAGGTTGGTTTAGTAGGAAAAAACCGTCAGTATTCCTTTATTATTGCACACAATAAACGCTTTATAACTGTGTAATTTATTATAAACGTGTCCTTGTTCCTGTATTGATATGAACTAAGCGTCGGACTAACTGAGCTGGAACACCATTTCAATGACAGACCACTCATGAAAACGTATGAACCAACCACATCATTCATCTTTAGTTATTGTATAAGTGTGTCTACTTCAATCTAATTGTTAGTCTGGTTACATATATCAACATCTAAGAATAATATTAAGATCATAAATTAGCAATGAGATTTCATCGCTTTGTTTTTCGCCAAATTTCTGTCATCTTTGTTGTTTACATATTTATTTATCTTTTTTTAGCCATTTAACCGCTCAATTAAAGCTGGTCTTATATCTCTTATCTTTATATTACAACATAACAAGAATATTGGCACAACAAACAAGTCTAGCAGTCGATCATCATCGCCAATGGATAAAAACGATCGAATTCAAAAACAAATACCTAGTCAAATGACCATTAATCATTTACGTATGATGGTTAGACGATTGTTTTGTTTATCACCGAAAACACTGTTTGAATTATATGTACAAAGTGGAAGGCATCGTGATATTGTTAACACTGAAATACCGTTGAATGTAGATACACGTGAAATAGGATTTTATAATTTAGAAAATGATGATTATATTTTCGTACGAATATGATAATAGTGACTACATTGTGTTCTAGTCTTTCTGCCCTTGTATTTACTACTTGGTTATCTCTTTAATATTTATCTATGTTGTTTAATTTATATATCTTGATATTCTTAAAAATCATCGTTATTATCAAGCTTGTACTTAATTATTTCCTATCCGTCTACACTTTCATGAGTTCTGTTGTGTACATAGCAGATTGTTCCATCAAATAATAAAGTGTAGTAATTGTGTGTAGGCTGTATGTTTTCTTAAAAATTGACTGCTTGAGGTTACCAATTTTATCAGTTTGCCATAAGCTTTGACTCGAATAACGTTGTTCAAGTAAATAGCCTTCATGAAGTTCATGTACTTCTGAGGTACGTTTTTCACTAAAAAGCACTATCAAAAGAATTTCCAGGCATTCCTACGCATCCCCCTGTTTCAGAGCATAACATAATTAATTGGTATATATCTGCACGTCCACTTTTGAAATCAGTTTGACTTTGCTCGGTTTCCTATCTAGGAATTTTATTTAAGCTTTGGGTGATTTCAGACACCACTTTATTCAAGTTGATTGTTCTGGTTACCGCGAGAGATTATCTTTCCTCTTTCTTAGATTGGGATCAGTCAGATGTGACTATATGCAGGTGCCAGATTCTGACTACTAAAATTAGACAGTCATTCTTAAATAACTCGAGTTAACTTATAAGGTCTTTTTCGCTTGTAGTTTGCATTTGCCTCTTTACGTTTACTAATAGTCGGAGGTTTATATATATTGTCTGTTTGCTCTACTAAAAAATTACATTATATATTATTTATTGCTACCAATCTCGAACTTAATTCTGTTGTATTTCGCAACACTTGTTTAGATATGTATAATCCTAATAGAGCAGCCAACTTGGACAGTACGTTATATTTCAAATATGTTGTATAGTCTAGTTGTCAGTTTATCTGACTGTAAATTTATATATTTAGGCGAGACTGAAAACAATAGTATTCCAAACTAATTTCTCTCACTTGAAGTTGCTTGTTACGTAATGATGTTTTTGTATGTATCATTTATTCTATCCATGGATGTCACCTCTGATACATATGGTTCTTCATCGCAAAATCTAGCACTGATTTTCAAACGTAACTTCATTTTAATCATTAGTTAAAGGGTTTCCAAATTGATGGATCTAATAGTTTTACTTACACGGCATTCAAATCCTTACTTGTTTTAGTAATATGGTCATCTAACACGTTCGTGCAATTAAGTGTTTGTCAGTTGTGTCTTAAATGCATTTACTTTTCGCAACAAATAATTTTATTTAATATATCAAGTTATGGGCCAATCTTGTTCAGCTCTGTATTGATCTAATTAAAGCAATCTACTTGTGAGTTATGTATCATCAAAACTTCCTATATTAGGTTTTTATATTTGGTGTCATGTTCATAGATTTAGTAGCCTATTGTGAAAATCTCTTCATTCCGTTCATTATAATCAAAGAAACATTCAAGATGCCTCGGTGAACATTGAAGGAGGGAATAAAATTGTTAAGTGTGTCAAATCTGTTCGCTCCTCACTCTGTATCTTTGCTTCCACGACCAATTAAAAATAGATTTCTAAACATCCAATGGCTAGTCTACTTTCAACATTTACTGTAATTTTCCGAATTGGGTAACAATTGGTTATTCTTGTTAACCCAGTCATGTTATCTCATACATCTATTTCCAGCAGCTAGGAAATAATCTCGTTAAAGGTATGTTTGTGTTGGATTTCCAACAATGAGTTTGCTAGACATTTTAGGTAACCGAAAATCTTAAGATAATAGTCATGGTTAGCATTTGTAGTGAAAATGTGAACGAAACAAAAGATCGAGCAGCTTTCTCAACAGAAGCGGCACATCGACTAATGAAAACCGGTTCGTCGATTTCATTTAAAAGCGATTTGAAATGTAAGGGCTAACTGGTTCGTTCTTATTTAGCGCACTTACACAGTGTTAATTCCTAAATTCTCCGGGGATTTATTTCAAAATGTAACTGCTAGATTACAATTTCAGTAACTGAAATCCCGTAATTTGTCCATTCTCTGATTAGACGTGATTGCTTTTTCTGTTTTACCTGGATTAATCTTAAGCACCATAGCATCCTAATCCAAGAACCAAGTCATTCATTACCTGTCAGTTGTTAACCGAATTGGTAGTTTTAATGAATGAGTAATATCTCACATTATTAGGCGAAGTCACTTTAAAGATTATTGAAAGCGAAACAACTTCCGACTGGAACCTATCTACTGAGGTATTTGTCAGAAGTCTTTACTAATTGAGATTAGTATCCATATGAAATCCGTGTTACGTATTTCTGTGAATTCCGAAATTGGGATAAATAATATGCACAGTAGTGGCTTAGCTTTAAAATCAAAGATGGATAGTGGCTGGGTTCGAGTCCCAGAATGAACATCAACTCAGATGCAGATACATCCATCCCAGATAGGATGGAACGCGCGTCCTGGATTCCACTTTTAGCCAATTTCCGTCTTTGCTTATAGAGCTTGTGACTTCAAGCAATATTGAGGCAGTCCGCACATGTGCCAATAAGAGACTGATCAATTGCAGTCATAAATAACAATTGGAAGATACAAGTAAACAACACCAAATGAAGTAATGCGTAGCCTTCAAATTTTCATTGGAAAGTATCGTTACGTAGTAAAATCTGACAAAATTAAGCATGTTTCTGTTTATAACACATTCTCTAAGTTAGACGTTTTGGTTGCAAATTATTCATTATCCGAGATAGCATCATCAGAACCTACTTCAAATCAAAATAGCGTTACAAATCTCCAGTATTTCAAAACTAATGTCAGTTTAAAACAGTTTCTATTTTCGACGAATATAAGTTAGTGATACACTGAGTATCACAGTGCTGACTAGACGATGCATCCGTCACCATCACCTCTTAACGATGGACATTTTTAATACATTGTTTTAAGTCTGTTGTACGTTCTTTGTCCTTATTCACTTTCCTTCGACCCTTTTGTGTATTGTTTTACACTACTTATTAATATTCAGTAAATAGTTGTATTCCTGGCAGTTTCTACGCGTATGTTGTGACGCAAGTTTGTCGTGCAATAGTCTGAAATATTTATAACACTTATTGAATTTATCGTTATAAATACTTCATCCCAATCATTGTAGTAGTTGTTCGCAGTTTTGTGTAGTCCTTGAACCCTTGTTTAAACGCAACAGTTTCCATATTGCTTGCTCTTAGTTCGATTTTCGCCCGATAAGTTTAGACAGCCAACGGCTGTCATTTTGCGTTATCTAAGCCTTTTTATTTCAGACAAAAGACACCTCACAAGTTGAGGTTTGTAACTGGTTTTTGTATATTATTCAATAAAGAACCGCTATTTTAGACAAATCGTTGCTTTGAGAACTTCGATTTTGCGAGTATCTTAATCGGGTGATTTTGACGCTTAGATAGACTCAACACAGTGATTAACTCAATACATTAAGGTTTGAAAATGAACTTTTTATCACTCACATTGACATTGTTGTGGTTGCTTTAAGTGAGTGAATTCGTAAAACAAAGTAAACTTTATCACTCACTCTTAAGTATCTGTCTAAAATCAATTTATCGTTAAACAAGATGGATAGCTAAATTTTCGAATAATAAGTCTTTTTATTGTTTTAGTAGGAGTCGAACTTTTATTCCGTGAAAATTACAACTAGATTTTAGTTGATTGTTAATCGAGAGAATAAAAGGGTTTTTATCCTGGATCTCATATACCATCAATAATCTCCATTTATCTCGGAATATCTAGAAACATTCACACATTTATTTCCTAGTTTTATGGCGGTTTTTTAAAATAAAAAAATGAGTCCATGATGGAAATAACCTTTAAATTTAATTAAATTATTATAAACTACTGTACAACTGTTTATTTTAACTTGTCTCATTATAAGATTCATTTCAATATTGAACATTGATAGTTAAAACAAGTTTTGTTTAAATTTACTATATTGTTAATTTTTATTTAGAATAGATACCTTACTGTAAATGTTATTTTCTTCTTACATATGAGTGATAAATAAAAGATAAACATTCTATCTAAGTGATGATTTTCTATTTACAATCTCTCCTTTAAAGATTCGCTAATTATGATGAATAGAAAATGGGAAACTAAAGTGAGGATAATAAGTATAGAGTAGTTCAGTTATTTATTTATTATGTTCATTGATATATCATTCATTCACTAGTTTGTTTGTTTGTTCTTTTTCATAAACAAAATTACAGTTTCACTCTTATATGACAAATTTTTCAACTGTACAGTATTTAAAAAGTGAGAGAAAAGAATTATAATAAAGAAAGTAAACATGTCATGAGGTGTTTACATATATTTTGTATATTACCTTGTCGTTGAAGTATAATCTTAACACCTGTCTACTTGTTAAAACTGTTACTTTCTATTCTATGTAAAAATGTCTATCCTAAGCTTTAAACTTATATATATATATATTCCCAGTTGGGTATTTTTCCACTTTTTCTTCTTTTCATTTGAACATCAACTTTATTTGATTGATAGATAGTAATAAACATACACATATATTGTACATTTTAGAATATCATTGTGAAATGTAAATATTCTTAAATAATTTGTTTACAGTTGTTTGGCAATCCAACTAATCGTTTCATGTACTTTACCGCTATACATTATGACATATATATATATATACCTTTTCGTTCGTTTTCTTTTTTGAATTTGTTTTAAATATCAACTAATCTCTTTCATCTTATTGATACTTTTTTCAGAACCATCTTTTCCCTTCTCTTACATTAACTGTATTTAGTTTCTTTTATATTTACTTATACCTGTAGACATGATGTTTTTTGTTCAAATTTTGTCGATTACATCTGGTTTCTGAATACATATATCAAGACATAACTACAAATTAAATGGTGATTATTATTAATATGCTTATTATTTTGCATTGTTCATGTGTCATTGTATATGTATATAAACATAGAATAGTTAAAGAAGTCTCTGTTTAACACATTTCTCCTCTTAATGAGATGCCTTTCCAGACATGTTTAATTTTCGTTTCTATTCGTTTTCTTTTTTTCTATTTACCCGCTAAACATAAATACCGAAATAAATATCATATGATGATAAGTAAAAGAAGACATGTGTATTTATATGATT